TCTGGAAATTGTTTCGGATGAAAAAGAAAAGAAAAGATAACACTCAAGGATTACCAAGTATGACAAGGTGGAAGAGCGCATCAACCGAAATTCTGTTGTAAAAACAACAAAGTTAAAGATATGAGCCAGAATAGTTCATAAAGTTATAATGAATGTAGGTTAAAATAAAATGACTTTTTAAAAATAAGACCAAATTTTTATTTCGACAAAAACGAAGTGCAGAAGTTTTAAAGGTGGACAAATTTGTCTGCAACGTCGCGGCGGAACAAAAATGGAAAAAAGCGATAGAAAGAAAAACAAAAGAATGACGAGAAGAAAGAAAAAAAGAAAGAGAGAAAAGATATGTAGTAGATGAGGCTTCTGCCCTCAATTTTGAAGAAGCCAGCTGTTTCCCCCCCGTCTATAATTTCTTCTCTCCGATCCCATTTGGAGTAGAGAGGGAAGGAGTGAAGAATTACGGGTTGGAATATGGTTAAGGTGTAGGTAGGATGACTGGTAGCGGAAAGATTTTTCTGTATGCTGGCAACATCCTGCGGGAAGGGTCAAAGGGCAGATTGGGTGCATTGGAAGTAATAGTAGAAAATAATAATAATAATAATAATATTAATAAAAACAGATGAGAAGAAGAAGAGATTAGATTATCTTGTAAGTGATAGGAACGGCAGGGTTGAAGCAACATTTTACCGTTACTGTTTCCCATAAAAATTACATTGATATAATTTCTTCATTCATAACTATGTACAAGGGTTGCTTAAAAAATAACGCTTGCTTTATTACATTATGATAGTCAACGGATATCGGCGGTACGGCAGTAGAGATTGAACCTTCCTGCTTATAAGACATAATGCTTTTCTTAACATCTTTATTAAGCTTTATTAGTATTATAAGTAATAACCGTATCTACATTTTCAGATAGTAATAACTTTTTAGAGCTACTACTTGGGTAATTAAGGTAAATATGGGAGAGTGATTTAGCCATTAATCACTTTCTTCTCTTCATCAAACATCATAATACACCAGTGAAGCATTTTGTCAATACCCGATAGTGTGCAGGGAGTAGTGGACTTATGCCTTTCCCAATAACACTCATGTGAAATTATGTCTTTAATTGATTTTAAAATAGTTATCCAGAATATTTTACTAATATCAGTAGGTTTTATTGAGAAAACATTTATCTGCATAAAATTTGACTGTATACGGAAGAAATTATTATTTTAATCTGAGTTCCTGGGTTCCATGACGTTCTATCATTTTAATTTTTCGTCATTTCTTAACCTTACTGCTGTTCCAACTTTAACATTATCTGCAGCAATTGTTTTTGCTTCCAATTGATCTTCTTTGCCTGAATATTGTTTTTCCTGTTGATATACATTTCTTTTAGTGAACCACTAGTTGTCGATATTTGAATGGGCCATACGATTAAGTAACTATTACGACCTGTGTAGACATTCTCCTAAGACCTTTGTAACCATTACGGCCTGTGTAGACATTCTCTTAAGACCTTTGTAACCATTCCGACCTATGTAGACATTCTATTAAGACCTTTGCAACCATTACGACCTATGTAGACATTCTATTAAGACCTATGTAACAATTACGACCTATGTAGACATTCCATTAAGAACTTTGTAACCATTACGACCTATGTAGCCATTCTATTAATACCTTTGTAACCACTAAGACATATGTAGACATTCTATTAAGACCTTTGTAACCATCACGACCTATGTAGATATTATATTAAGATATATGTAATCATTACGACCTATGTAGACCTTCTGTTAAGACGTTTGTAACCATTACGACCTATTTATATATTCTATTAAGGCCTATGTAACCATTACGACCTATGTAGACATTCTATTAAGACTTTTGTAACCATTATGACCTATGTAGACATTCTATTAAGACTGGCAATAGTGAGTCTTACAGAATGCCTCAAATGGAAATAGTCTTTAGCTTAAAGCGTCTTGGTTTTGATGTGTACAACTCAAAAAACTGTTATTAAAGAAGAATTCTCTGCATTTATCTTGACACCATCGATTTATATAATGGGCTTTTGTCGTGAAGCTGTAGAAATAGAATTTGATACTATTAAACTTGGAAATAAAACTCTGTAATTATTCAATATTATTTGTTTATTTTAATACCCAGGAAATAATGAAAAAAAAAAATGAAAAGGCAAAAGTTGTTGATATTTTAAAGGGTACTCTGTAAATACTATCATTCTTTATATCATAGCTAAACTAGTTTATGCATAAATTTGAAACAGAGTGTGTTTTGATTATTTCTATTAAAATCAAACTTCACATTTAAAACGATCATGAACTAAACTTTAAAGATACAGGTTGTATTGGGATAAATATCAACAGTTCGAATTCAAGCCTATGTATAACAATTTTCCAGGTGACCATCATTTGTTTTTAATAATTTCTTTCCAAGCAAGGCAATAAAGCCACTAAGATTCAAGCGGTTACTGAGTGTGAGAGAATACGAGAAAAAAAAACATTGTTAAGAAGAGAGACCAATAAAAGATATTATATAGATTTTTGAAGAGCAAAGTTGACTGCTAAATCAGGACCAATAACATTGCAAGTTCTTTGTATTTTATCAAGAATTTCTAAAGACATTAGTAGGAACACTAGATCAGATGTGGCAGCAAATATTCAATGCTTGGACGAATGATAGACTTAGAAATATCAAGTTTTTCAAATTTATTCTGCCCATATTTTTTTTTCTATAAAATAGGCTTTTGAATAATTTAAAAAGTAAGAGCTCCCACCAATCATACAACCGTTAGGATAACACAATAGAACCGGAGATATCTGACCTTGTTACTCATAAGTCTCCATTGACCAGTATATATAAATAATCGAGCTACACATGACCTGAAGATTGCGTTGAAGCGTAGAAAAGACTACCACCACTCGGTGTTGACCTCATTGTCTACACACACACACACACACACACACACACACACACACACATATATATATATATAAAGTTTGCATTGAGGTCAACAGATAGCGGCGACATGCTTAAACACAATCATCAGATCTGATAACACTTTTATATTCACATACGCTCTATCCTTGATATCCAGCACTTTAACTCTTAAATATAGCACACCTTAAAACTATATTTTTATCATATATATATATATATATATATATATATATATATATATATATATAAAAATTGTTCTTTTTGTATATTCTTTTTGTCATTTTATTTAGTTGAAATGTGGGACTACAATAAAATTCTTTTGGAAATTACAAACTTTTCGGTTGATTCTGCAGTCTTCGTCAGTGCTTGATATTGAGGAATATTTTTTAAACTGGGCTAAATTTCAAATCCAGTGGAATGACCCGCGTGTGGAAAAAGAACTGGGGGCGAAGGAATAAAAATTATTACCTGGTGCCACATGCACTGCATTGGCGCCTCTTGCACTGAACTCATTAACGTCTGCTGGACTTGAAATTTAGCTCAGCTAAAAAAAAAAAAAATTAATGTTATAATTTAAATACATTTTATTAATGTTTTTTATGGAAGAATACTTTTAATATAGAAAAATATTGAAACATATTTTACTATAGAAAATATTGAAAATCATGAAGAAAAGGACTGTCATTGTACAGTTGTGCAGTAATTTTCGATATGCTTATACTCAGACATACTTCCGATTAATTTTGTTTTACTTAAATGTTTGTCTGAGGTATAATTCCGTACTCTCTTTTCTGTTCATCGAATTCGCAGTCTCTGAGCCAGGCTAACAGTTTCTGATTCAGCGTTGCCAACATTTTGAACACAGGCGTATCTTGACACTTCTCGCGAGATCAGAGGATCAAAATTGTTATAAGAATTAGACCCGTAAAACCTCAACTTCCCCCCGCCCCCTGTTTATAACGGTTACTTTTTGCTTTTTGCTTTTTTTAATAAACAGCTGCTTGATTTGCCGTTTTGAGTCGATCGTAAAGCTTTCTATTCTTTACATTTTTTTTATCTCATCTAGGATTTTTCTGAACTCTGGTATGTGCCACGAAACGTATAAACAACATGTACAATGTGTACATACGCACACGCTTACATTCTTAGGCATATTCACAGCTAGACGCTCAATTACACTCTTACACGCATTTATATTTAAATATACTCTTTCATATGCCTTCTTATACATAAAACGCATACGTAAATCGCATAGCATCTCTAATAGGTAGATTCATTTATGTAGACCATTTCGCATGCAAGAATCCACTTTTTTCCTCTTCTGCATAAACGCATATATAAAGTTGGGGTATCGTAACAGAAAACCTGACAGTCATAGCGATTTCACCGATGCTTTATAAATGCAATCTTCTATCAGATATCATTATCATCATCATCATCATCCGTCCCATGACCGGTTGTGGTCATAGGGTTGCTGCGCAGTTAAGCATCTGACCAACTCCCTCCATGTGTCTCGGCTGCATGTGAATGTCGGAATCTTTGAGAATGATCTCCCAATCCACGTTGTCAGTCCATTTCCCCCTAGGTCTGCCTCTTCTTCTTTCGCTCAAGGTGATACTTTGCAGGATGACAGTTGAAAGGTTGCTAGCCTTTAGGATGTATCCATACTATTTTAAGTTCCTCTTCTTGACGGTGGTCATGAGGTCTTCCAAAAGACCCGTCTCTTGTTTGATGGCGCCTCGCATCACATCTTTTGAGTTGCGGTCAGGTGACTTAACCCGAATAAATAAATACGGGATTCTTTTCATTATTGCCGTTCTGTACGTCAACCTTTCTCTCAGTGCGTAGAGTTACCAAACTGAAATTTGAAAATTTATACTAGACTCATCATTTGTCTCTACCTACTCTGACGATGACTTAAGAATGTCGAAAGCTTGGGCCATATTTCGTGTACTTTTCTTCCGAAATGACCCAGGGTCACAAACTCACATCAGTCCAACTAAATATGTTAGCTCTATCACTGATATTGAGCGCTTTCCAATAAATACCGCGCATATATAATATATAAATAATATATATAAAAATTGCATATATATATATATATATATATATATATATATATATATTTTACACACGACAAAGTGGAAAATGCTTTCATGTGATGCGTTTTGTCCCTTAGAACTTCAATGGATGAAAATGATTTTTACGTTGATACAACTACACATGCACACAAAGGAAAAGAGACTCTTTTGACTTTGTCATAGTTTTTTCCCATAAAATTGTTCTCGATATAGAAAAATTCATATATCACTTTCCTATGTATCTATATTTATATATATGGAGACAGATAGAGAGGGGTTGTTATGAACAGATTCGTATAAACAGACATAAAGATAGATATGAACAACCTGCGAATAATATGAAGAGACTAAGAGAGATATATATCTAGATGGTTGGAAATGGATAGACTGCAGTAGACAAGTATCACCAAGTGAAATGTGAAAAAAGACAGAGATATACGGTGTGAATTAGATAACTGTAAGCGTGACCTAACGCAACACCTACAGATTCGGTGACTGAAAGGTAGGGAGTCTACCCTCCCCACAGCCGCCAACGTCTTTGTTCATTATGACCTTACCAGTTCTTTTATTGACGTCAGCACCAAGAGTTTCCTCTGGCTTGGTGCATCTCTTTCTTTGATACATGCGCACAACGTCACCATTTTTCATTTGTCCTCGCATTCTTGGCTCGAATTCTCATGACTCATTTCCACCAAACGACATCCTGGAATTATATACAAAATGCATTTCCCATTAAAGGTGGTTATGGAAAATATACGTTCTTAGAAATGTGTCGTGTTCTTTCAGGCCGTGGGCGATCATAGCTCTCTACACCTTCCTGTCCCTTGTAGCGCTTAGTAATATTTGTCTTTTTGACATCCCATGCATCCACCGTTGCGCCATTTATGTACACGATTTTGTTAGGTAGGTTGCCCGCTGATTGCTCCGGTTTTTTTTTAAAAACCATTTTGTCCCAAGCAAGGCAATAAAACCACTAAAAGTTAAGAAGGCAGAACGTAACGATTGGCATAAAGTTGACTCAAAGTTGGATCAAAGTTGACTGGGAAGCAAGAAGCTGGAAAAGAGTCCTACAAGCGTGAAGTACGAGAAAAGAAACTGTTAGCACAGAACTTATGGTTACATCTCGGCATTTCAACTGTAAAATGATGAGACCTTGCCGCCAATCTAGTAATGCGCTCAAATTCGTAATGTATAGGTATCATAGAGGAAAGTTCATCAGAAAGTATTCATAGAAAAGACACAGGGAAACTACGTTACGGTGTGTGTGTGTGTGTGTGTGTGTGTGTGTGTGTGTGACTGAAACCGAAATGCCAGGTCAGGACCAATAATATTGCAGATTCTTCTTTGGTCATATGTGGCAGCAGTATTCAAAGCATAGACGAATGGTGGACTTATAAATGTGTAAGATAGATTCTAGATAGAAAAATATCTAGCATGACGCAGTGATCCAACTTTCCTAGTCGCAGACTTAACAATTGATTCAATATAATTTTTCCGCTTCAGCGGAAAACATTAGCCCTAGAAGGCGTAATGAGTCACTCTCCTGGAGGTTAGCATCAGCCATGCTGTTGAATCAAAAAAGGTTTCGCTCTGACTATTAAAAGAGAGAAGTTTCATTTTTGAGGCGTTAAAATCAACAAGCCATTCCTTGCCCAGTTAACAACAGGTTGTAGGTCATTTTTGAGATCAGCTGCTAATTTGTCCTTATCGAACCGATCAGACTTACTCTTAAAAAAGGAGTAAATATTTCATCAGCAAAGATATCGAGTTGAGAACTGATGACACCAGAAAGGTCGTTGATGCAAATTAAGAACAACATAGGTTAGAGGCATGGGGGGGGGACACCTGCATTAATACAAAAAAGATCTAGAAGATTGGCCGTTTAAGACAACTTCTATTTCGCGATTTGATAAGAAATACTGAATCAGTTCAAAAATTATTTTTGAAATATCATAATCTTTCAATTTCAAGACCAGCATGCCAAACCCTGTCAAATGCCTTCGAGATATTCAAAGCAACAGCCGAGCTTCACCATTCTTATTTAAAGTGTGATAGACTCTTTCATCAATAACCGTTAATGCATCAATAATTAGTCGAGAGAAGCAAAAGCCATGTTGATTATCGGAAAGAAGATGTGGGCGTTATTGACGAAAGAGAAGATGGCAGCAAGTGAAGATTATGAGGATAAGAAATAAACATGACGATTGACACTTGACTCTAAGATGGTTAAGGATGTAATATTCAGGTAGTCTGAGAGTTTGTTCTGCAAAATACCAGCATTTGGGAAACAGCTGTCTGAATTGAATTTTCTTCTTACATTTGGTTTTATTATTGATTCATTTTTTTACGGCTTATCAAATCTTTGCAGGTTATTTAAATATATTTAGATTCTAAGAATTTTTTAAAAGATAATAATGGCTTAGTGATATAAGTCTTACTAATTAATCTATAACTAGGAGAGGGAAGAGATGGGTTCATGCCTTTCCCAAGGGTAGTTGCTTGTAAGTGAATATAACGAACTCAACTGGAATTAGAACTCGGCTCAATGATTAACAATTCTGAGACATTATCCATTACACCAGCCGCGCATCCAATCTTACAGGATCTGGTATTCCCAAGAGGTTCATCCATTTAGATACTGACCAGGCTCGATGTTGCTTAACGTCAGTGATCGTATTGGAGCCGTGATGTGGCTGTAAGCCTTTTTACATTTGAAACGCGGAAGATATGAATGTGATTCAAATTCATGAAAGTAGGTTGGCGTGTCCTGCTTGTAAAGGCCTGAACTGGTGACTAAAGAAAGGAGCTCATTTGGTGGTGGGATTATAAATAGATCAGGGACAGATCTAAAACGTTACACTTGTGGAAAAGAACTTGTAGAGTGGCGAGAATGTCTTCTTTCACAAGACTATGTAAACAATTTTGAACTATCGCCTGGAAAGTGAGGATGGAGCAGATATGAAACAGATATGGCAGTAATATTTTATTCTTGTTAGGATAAAGAATGATAGAATTAGTCAGATATTTCTTGCAGTGATATCCTTAATAGATTCTATATATGAGTTCCACTTGAGTCTTGAACTGAACATTCGACCAAGTAGACGTTCAAAGTAAGAAACTTCATTGAGAATGGAAGCGATCGTCGTGAGTGAAGAAACTCAGGGTTTGAACGGTGAGGCTGAAACGACACTAATTTCATTTTTGAAGTATTCAAAGTTACAACTCAGTTATTTCCAAATTGAGATGTCAGCTGTAACGCTTTGTCATTTTCTCATCATTTCATCTCATGCAAGGCAATAAAGCCACCAAAAAACAAGTGGGGGGGAGCAGATTATGAGAGAATATGAGGAAAAGAAAAACATTATTAAGGAGAGAGGACAATAAAGAAGAGGAATTAAGAAGACAGAAGATAACGATTGATATCGAATTTAAATTTTTGAAAATCAAAGTTGGCTGGAAAACAAGAAACCGGAAGAGAGTGTCACAAGCGAGAAGAAGAAACTGTTAACATAGAACTTACGGTTGTCTATAATTTTGGTTTTTATAAGTATGCATCTATCATTTCTCTTCAGAACGTAAGCGATCTAGGCCCTCCATAGCTTCCTTTTTCGTTACTGTCATCAATATTTTATCCTTTACATTTTTTGTCTTTGCCGTAATTGTGCCGCCGTTCATTTGCTCAACATTTTCAAGTAGTTTCTACCGTTTCTCTTGCGTTCGATGTACCCTGTGAATGTTAAACTTTCCAAGTCTTCTTTCTTCAATGGTTCAGCTTTGGATGGTTAGTAAAAATTCCTTTGTAGTCTCTGTTCTCTTTCAATCTTCTTCATCTTCTTAGTTATGCATCCAGGCCCAGTGTGCAGATCTAGTTATGTATCCAGGTCAAATGCCCAAATCTAGCTATCAATCCAGGTCAAGTGTCCAGATTTAGTTACCAATCTATCTTAAATGCTTAAATCTAGTTATACACCCGGCCAAATGTCTGTTACCTGGCATCGATCTAGGCCAAGTCTCCATATCTTCTTATCAATCAATATCAAGCGTTCAGTATTTTATTATCAACTCGGGTCAGGTGTACAGATCTAATTATCAATTCAATAGAAATCTCCATATTTATTTACCACTTCGGATTAAGTGTCCAAATCTATTAATGAATCTCGATCTAGTGACGCGATCTAATTATGTATCCAGGACAAGTGTTCACATTTAGCAATCAATCCAGATCAAGTGTCTTGATCCAGTTATCATAATGAACAAAAAGGATTTATTCTAGTGTGCATGCTGACATTCCAGCAGAAGACAGCTCATCAATTCTGTTTTCTACACCGATAACCGCTACACTACCTGCATCTCCAGGCCAAGAAAAAATGTGAAAAAAAAAAAAAAACTATGTAATAGAAAGCTTAGTAATACTCCTTAATCCTCGTAATAATCGTCACGGTGGCAGGCATGATTGAAAGAACTGGAAATTCGAGGAACGGTTGCAACTATCAAGTGTAGGGCAGTTCTAGACCCCCTAAGAGTATTGGGGAAGGTTCTGGAGCTTTGAGAATAATTTAATGGCACTTGATTCCAAGATACAACTATCAGAATCTCTTTGTAAAAAGGTGAATTCAGAAATTTGAAACATATTTTCATTTTAATTCAGAAATAAAAAAGTAATTTCATTTTAATTCAAAAATTTACAACATATTTGTTGTAGAAAAAAAAACAAAAAAAATCTCAGATAATGGCTGCCATCCTGTGAACGGGCCCAGATAATGAAACAGAGAGAGAGAGAGAGAGAGAGAGAGAGAGAGAGAGAGAGAGAGAGAGAGAGAAATAGTGTGCGTGTGAGAGAGTGTGTGCATGTGTGTGTGTGTGTGAGAGAGAGAGAGAGAGAGAGAGAGAGAGAGAGAGAGAGAGAGAGAGAGAGAGAGAGAGAGAGAGAACAAACTAGACCTTGCCTGATATGGATGAAAATTGTAGAACATTGTTGAAATTTTAACTATAAGGACTCGAGGAAGATTCTCAAAGAGCCTTGAATAGTTGAATATCCAAGAAAGTATTTGCAGACCAAACATTAAGCACTAGAAATCTGGAGAGACCAGCTGTCCTTCGCTTCAGCGATGATTACCAGAAAACTATATTTCGATCATATAATAAAAATAAATACATATAAATGAACTTCATAGTCATAACAAAGTGAGATCACATTCATCTCAAACTTTAAATTGATAAACGCCATACTGAGTAATTTTGGATTTTAAATGTTCTTTCCGTGAAAACGTTCAAAGATGGTCGGAAGAACTTGGATTTCACCATTTTATTACTGCAAGTTACTTTCTAAATTTGCACCATAAATAAAGCGACTAATTCGAAACGAAGGGAGACTGGCGAAAATGTTATTTATGAATACTTATGTCCCCTGGGAGATTTCATCTCCATTATCAACAATATAAAAATTAAATACTTACATTGGTCACATATACACCACACCTTTTCGTAGGTTAACTTGTCACCTACCGAAATTCAATGCAGTTCGTTCCCATATCGATCAGTACACCGAACAACCAAAATATATAAGCATAAGACAAATATTAGTGGATGATACCAAAATACTCTACAGCATCCAGTTCAAAGAAAAACGTAAAGTCTTAGAGATTATTATCATCCAAAATAAACAATCCACATTAAGTAAAATATTTTTCATCACAGGAGACGGTACCATGAAGTGTGTATAAAATATTTAATATATCATAAAATAATAAAAAAAGGAACCTATGATATTGATGCATTCATTTTGATGCGGTCTCGCTCATAGTAACCGTTACACATGGCATCACTGCGGACTGTTTTAAACTTTCCTCTCTGCATAAAATACCAGGATGTAGCAAACGGAATTTTGCCTGCCACATGGACAGCACACGGTTTTTGATAAGGACTGACAAGATCGAAAGTATTTGAACAAAAACAACAGTAAAAACATGAACTCTGAACAGTTTATCCAAAATTATCGACCCATATAAAATATCTTATCCGACAATTGAAAAATAAATAAATAAAATGAAATAGACAGACCTTGTCGGTTGAATTTAATCAAACTTGTTTCTCTGTCTGTCTGTCTGTCTGTCTGTCTGTCTCTATCTATCTATCTATCTATCTATCTATCTATCTATCTATCTAAAGGCAACTGCATATCAACCCAACACACACACACACACATATATATATATATATATATATATATATATATATATATATAGGCAATTAAATATCAACCCAACCAAATTCTCGCAAATTCCAATGGGCATCATTTCAGATCATTTCAGATTTTGATCAAATGTCAATGTTGTACCCACCTATGAGAAACTAAAAAGCTAAAATTTTTATTTTAGGAGTTATAGCCTCTTGGAATTTGGTCTCAATTCTTCCTGAGTTTAAAATAGCAAAATCTGACAAATTTGGCATTTCATATCTTTGCATTCAAAGAAGATGCCAATGGTACTTTAGTTATAGGTTGCAAAAATGGAGAAAATCGCTATCTTTTGGTGTGTGATTTGCCTTCCATAAAAGCTAAACTATTAGCAAGGGAATAGAAAATCTATTTGACTATAATTATCTGACGTTGAAATATCTGTTTTTACAAGCGTTACAGGATTTCTAGTTGACAAAAAAGTCAAATTTTAGGCCTTTTTTGAATTTAGGATTTATAATTTGTTCAAATATAGATCCATCCCTTATCTTTCATTCATAAAAATAAAAAAAAACTTATTCGATGCTAACTTAGAAAACACGCCATCGAAAATGAAACATCTAGAGGAATTCAAATCGATTTTGTCCCTTAGAATATATGGCACAATGAATTTAATTTATTATTACTTTTAGAATATTGAATCTCAATCAGGGTTTTACTGTCTGACTGATTCTGAAGATATTCAGGCTCCAGACCCCACCCACATTCACGCTCCAATCCCAAAAGAGTAGGCTCCTCTTCAGGCGTCGTTTTTATTTTCGTAAATTACCACACCATTTCTTACTACTTAAATAGGAATTTTTCACTTCATTTATGATATATATTTACCAAAACCTAAATACATATTTACCTAATATGCTAAAGACCTTCATATTTTTAAAATATTAGTGGGAATTTTCAAGTTCTCATGTTTTTAGTAAACATAAATTCTTATTTTCTGCTTCTTGTTTTCAATAGTGAATATCGTATTTGAAAGTTTTACTCAGAAATGGAGCTACTTCATATCGAGCAACATGTAAATAAAAAAATAGAGGCCTTCTGGTCCCAGGTAAAATGCAGGCTGTCAAAATTCATCTTATAGTAAATTTGTTATATTTTCATTTTTACAGATTTCTTCAGAAGATATTAATTAGATGAAATAGACGTCCAAAATAGTTTATATAAAAAATTCTGAATTATCTAACAAAGTTAATCCTATTTAATAAAAAAAAAACATTTATTCTAAAAAACTCACAAAT